CGTCTCTAAAAAATAGCCGGGCATTGTAGTGGGTGCCTGTAGTCCCAGCTCTTTGGGAGGCTGAGGCAAGAGGATCTCTTGAGTCCAAGAGTTGGAGGTTGCTGTAAGTTATGATGCCATAGCGCTCTACCAAGGGCAACAAAGTGAGACTCTGTCTCAAAAAAAAAAAGGAAGAAAAAAAAGAAAAGAAAAATTTTAAGGTAAAATTAAACAGATAGCTACAGCATAAGAGAACTGATAAATCAGATAGAGTTAACTTGTTTCATGTAAATCTAATAGTACCTGTAATTTTTTTCTGCTTAGAATCTAAAAATTTGTTTAGAATGTCTTGTTTAAAAATAACAGACTGCAGACTGCTTATCATAAAATCATGTCTCTCACACTTGAGGCAGTGGTCAAACAGATGTGGACTATTATGTGTGTCATTTTAAAGTGTCAGGATTTAGCCTCTGAATACTTTCTCTGTTGGGGTAAAAATACATTTATTGAACCACTCATGACACATCTTAGAAGGTCATTGACAATGTATAAACTAATTGTTGGTTTGATATTTATGTAAATATCAGTTTACCATGCTTTAATTTTGCACATTCATATTATAGGGAGCCAGTGGTTCTCCTATTAGTCTTGTGGGTTTTCTGTTTCAAAGGAGTCATGACATCTGTTTACATTTACCTTATCAAACCTAGAATGTGTATATTTATAAATGTATGTCTTCATTCCTAGGTACTAATTTGCAGGTGTCTTTACATATTTCAATACAGAGACTGTAACATTCTATATTGTGCTGTCAAAGTGTGCTTAGCTCATCTGGATATACCCACACTGTTAAATAATGTCTCAACATTAATCATTAAAACATTTTTGATTATCTGTGCTTGTGTTTTACATTGTTTATGTGTTCTGATTCTGAAAGACTGGAGAAAAATCTACTTTCTTCACCCTCTGAGAACTTGTTTGGAAGGTTACACTGTTGCTTATTTAGCACATAATGAGGTTTGCATGAGGCATGGTGGGAGTTCCACTCTACACTCTACTCTGCCTCCTCCAGGTGGCCCCACTGAGGGTCCTAGGTCTAAGCACACTCCTTTATCCTTCCTTGGGTTGATCCCACCCTCTGCTCTCACCCCCAGACTGTTACTTTCCTAGGTCTGGATCACAGGTCTGAGAAGGTTTTCAAATAGAAAATATTTCAGGTTTGGGCTCAGCACCTGTAGCTCAACAGCTAGGGCACTAGTCACATATACCAGAGCTGGTGGGTTCAAACCCAGCCCAGGCCTGCTGAACAATGACAACTGCAACCAAAAAATAGCCAGGTGTTGTGACAGGCCTATAGTCCAAGCTGCTTGGGAGGCTGAGGCAAGAGAATCATTTCAACCCAAGAGTTTTGAGGTTGCTGTGAGCTGTAACACCACAGCACTCTACCAGGGCAACATAGTGAGACTCAGTCTCAAAAAAACAACAATATTTCAGGCTTGGCAGACCATATGGTCTCTGTGTGAACCGCTGAAGTATGCCATTGTAGAGTGCAAAAGTAGCTGGGAACAAGGTGTCAATCTCTAGCACCACCTGAGCTCTGCCTCCTGCCCCCGCCCAACCCCAGTCCCTAGAAGAATTGTATTCCATGAAACCAGTTCCTAGTACTAAAAAAGGTTCCCATCTGTGGCCCATTAGTAATTGGAATACACAGCAAGAGCTGAGTGGCTAGTGATTGAGCAAAGCTTCATCTATATTTACAGCGGTTCCCTGTCATTGCCTGAGCTCTACCTCCTGTCCCAGCCCCCATGGAAAAATTGTCTTCCATGAAACCAGCCCCTGGTGCAAAAAAGGTTGGTTACTGCTGATGTAAATAAATGAACTTGGGCAGCGCCTGTGGCTCAAAGGAGTAGGGCGTCTGCCCTGTATGCCGGAGGTGGAGGGTTCAAACCTGACCCCGGCCAAAAACTGCAAAATAATAAATAAAATAATTAAAAGTAAATACATAAATGAACTTGGTGATATTCTAATAAAACTTTATTTACAAAACAGAGGACTATGACCATAATCTACTGACTTCTCGAGTAATGAGGTCCCCTCTCTGAGCCCAAAGCTTAGGCATTTTCTTTGCTAAAGATCATTGCATGTCTCACGTCCAGGTCCCTCCCAGCCTACCCCAGTCTGTTTGACTCAGCCCATTCATTTCTGTACAGCAGGCCCATTCTTCTGTACAGAAGAAAAACAATAGCCTGTTTTTCTTCCACCTGTTTCATACCACACTATCCCCAGTATAGGCTCCATCTTGGCTCTTGGTGCCTTCTACTTTGTGAATACATCCTTAAAAATGGCACATGAGGCTCAGTGCCTGTGGTTCAGTGGCTAGGGCGCCAGCCACATAGACCAGAGCTGGCGGGTTCGAATCTGGCCCAGGCCTGCCAAACAACAATAACAATTGCAATAAAAAATAGCCGGGCGTTGTGGTGGGCACCATTAGTACCAGCTACTTGGGAGGCTGAGGGAAGAGAATCACTTAAGCCCAGGAGTTTGTGGTTGCTATGAGCTGTGGTGCTACAGCACTCTATGGAGGGTGATATAATGACAATCTATCTCAAAAAAAAAAAAAAA